CTGTAAACGCCTCAAGGAAATCCCACTAAAACTGCTATGTAAACCCTAAACCCTAAACCCTAAACCCTTCCCGACCCCCAGGACCCGCAGCCGATCCCTGAGGTGTCTCGACACCTCGGAGTAGGGTTTAGGGTTTTAATGAGGGTTTAATTTTGGCGAAAAATAAATTTATTTTGGTTTCTGAATTTAAAAAAAGAGAATAAATATTAAACCCTAAACCCTAAACCCTAAACCCTAAACCCTAGCTGCCTCCCTTCTCCAGCCGCTCTCGTCTTCACTGTACACATAAAACCCTAGCTCTAAACCTTGGCCCAAATTCATAAGTCTTGCAAACGCTAGACCCTATTAAACCCTAAACCCTACTAAACCCTAAACCCCACTAAACCCTAAACCCTAAACCCTAAGCCCTAAACCCTAGGGACTCCCCGCTGCAGCAGCTGCCTTCTTTAGAAAAGTCACACCTAGAGGCAACTAGCTGCAGCAAGTGCCCCCGCTGTTCCTATGCTGCTGTTGTTGCTGTTGCTGCTGCTGCTGTTGCTGCTCCCGCTGCTGCTGTTGCTGCTGCTGCTGCTGCTGCTGCTGCTGCTGCTCGAAGCAAGCTAGATCTAGCTAGCTGCATGCATGCTCGTTGTGGCTAGGGCTAGCTGCAGCTAGCTCAAAGTTGTTACAGCTAGCTACAGCTAATCTGTCGCAGCAGCCGCTGCAGCAGCAGCAGCAGCAGCATTGACAGCAGCAGCAGCAGCAATAGCAGCAGCAGCACGTGAAACGGGATAACTTAAAACAGCAATCTCTTTAGTGAATAAAAAATCGGGGGCCCCTCAAATGAGGTAAGAAGAAAATGCAAACACATAAAGCATAGGCCCTGTCCCTGCGTCTGCTGCTTCTGCTGCTGCTGCTGCTGCTGCTGCTGCTGCTGCTCGTGCCGCTGAGTAGCGGGCTGGCATGTGGGCTGCACTGTTTAAAAAGTTTTGTACCTGTGAGCAGTGGCAGCCGCCGTTCCCGCTGCAGCAGCAGCAGCAGCAGCTGTTGCTGCTGTCGCTGCTGCTGCTGTTGCCGCTGCTGCTGCTGCTGAGATTAGCATGCAGCAGCGGAGGAATGCAAGAAGGCCAGCAGCTGCTGCGCCTCCTCTGGGGCGCAGCGGACAAGAAGCTCTTCTATAAAGTCCCTGAGCAGCAGCAGAAGCAAGCAGCGCGGTGTACGTACACTTGAGCAGCAGCAGCAGCAGCAGCAGCAGCAGCACACAGCGATGAAACAACCACATACACTGAAGCAGCAGCAGCAGAAGCAGCAACACGAAAACGCCGTAGCAGCAACAGCAGCAGCCGCTGCTGCTGCTGCTGCAGCAGCAGCACAGGCCGGCGGCCTCTGCCGCCGCAGCAGCAGCAGCAGCTGCTGCTGCTGCTGCTGCTGCTGCTGGAGCCTACCAGCTGCTCCACTTTGTGGGGTGGTACTCCTTGAACTTTTCCTCCATCAAAAACTTTTTCATTTTTTTAAAAAAGAAAATTCTGTCGCTTTTTCGAAGCGAGGCGCACACCAGCTGTCGAGACACCTCGCGGGACAGAAGTGCTGCTTCCAGACCTGCAGCAGCAGCAGCAGCAGCAGCAGCAGCAAAGCAGCAGCAGCAGCAGCAGGAAAAGACACCAGGGAACAGCGAGCCATTCAGTTCACGCTGCTGCTCGCAGTTGCGTGGCTACCCGCTACCTGGCTGTAGTTGCTGCTGCAGCTGCTGCAGCTGCTGCTGTTGCTGCTGTTGCTGCTGCTGCTGCTGTTGCTGCATTTGCTGCTGCTACCTGGTGGTCGCTCTCTGTAGAAGTGCCAGCAGAGGCCAACGTCGCTTCTGAATTCAATGGACAGATACCCCACGGATTGGAAGCAAGAGCTGCCTCTGTCCTGCTGCTGCTGCTGCTGCTGCTGCTGTTGCTGTTGCTCTTCAATCTCTGCAGCAGCAGCAGCAGGCACCTGCTGCAGCTCGAGAACAAGCACTGGAAGGGTGCTGTATTTGAGCTGTATTGTTCCTGCGGAAGGGACTGCTGCTGATCCTGCTGCTCCCGCTGCTGCTGTTGCTGCTGCTGCTGCTGCCGCGTCTTCTGCAGCACGCTGCCGCGGCAGCAAAGACCCAGCAGCAGAACCCGCAAGGCTGCCCAAGCAGCGAGACGCTGCAGCAGCAAACTCCGCTGCTGGAATCAAAGCAGCTCGGCTGCACGCAAACAGCAGCAGCAGCAGCAGCAGCAGCAGCAGCAGCAGCAGCAGCAGCAATATGACGACACTAAAAGGAACTAAAACATGTCAAATATAACACATGAGGGAACGGACGCAACTAAAACATGTCAAATATAACACATGAGGGAACGGACGCATCAGAAGCAGCACTGGGAGAATGAGCACCAGTAGTAGCAGCAGCAGCAGCAGCAGCAGCGCGAGCACTAGCAGAAGCAACAGCAGCCGCAGCATGAGCAGCAGCACCAGCAGCAAGAGCAGCAGCAGCAGCAAGAGCAGCAGCAACAGCAAGAGCAGCAGCAGCAGAAAGAAATCCTTACTTCAGGTCCTCAGCTTTGAAAAGACAAAGATACACAGATCTAACAGCAAGACAGAAAGGAAAGCTGCTGCTGCTGCTGCTGCTGCTGCCGGTCCGCTTCCACCAAGCAGTCATTGCTGCTGCTTCCCTGCATCTATCCTCCGTGGCTGGAGCAGCATCTGCTGCTGCTGCTGCTGCAGCTTCGACCACTGCTGCTGCTGCTGCTGCACTAGCTGCTGCATCAGCTCCGCTGTCGCTGTTGTCTCGTAGCTCTGTGACAGTGCCTATCCGCTGCAGCTGCTGCGAGTGGTTGCAGCAGCTGCTGTTGCTGCTGCAGCCATCTGCAGCAGCAGCAGCAGCTGCTGCTGCTGCTGCTGCTGTTGCTGCTGCTGCTGCGCGATGACTTCGGGGATGCATGATGCGGGAAACAACGCCCTTCAAAAAAGTATTCAGCTGCCTCCGCTTTGGCCGCGCAGACAAGTTGCTGCTGCTGCTGCTGCTGCTGCTGCTGCTCCTGCTGCTGCTGCTGCTGGAGCGGCGAAGGCCAGAGGCAGTGCAGTCCTGCTCCACTGGGTTGACCTGAGCTGCTGCTGCAGTGTGTTGCCGGAACAGCTGCTGCTGCGCCTCGGCGTGCTGCTGTTGCTGCTGCTGTTGCTGCTCCTGCTGCAGCTGCTGTTGCTGCTGCAGCTCCGAAGATGTGCTAGCAGCAGCAAAAGTTCCTCGCTGCTGCGTTTCTAGAGCGTCTCCTTCCTCCTGCTCCTCCGTCTCAGCAGCAGCAGCAGCAGCAGCAGGATCACTGAAATCCTCCCGCTGCAGCAGCTCCAGGAACAGCAGCATCTCCGCAGCATCTGCTGTCGGCCGGCCAACAGGAATAACACGAGAAGGTAAACTCGGGTGGCGGCAAGCCCTGCAGCAGCAGCAGCAGCAGCAGCAGAAGCAGCAGCAGCAGCAGCAGCAAAGATAGAGTCAGATCATGCATTCATGCGCACACATCTGTTCTGCTACCTGCAGCTACCGGAGCAGCTGCTGCTCTTCTGCAGCAGCAGCTGCTGCTGTACTGCAACCAGTACTATTGCTGCTGCTGCTGCTGGGTCCACTGCTGCTGCTGCTGCTTCTATTGCTGCTGCTGCTGCTGCTGCAGCAGAAGAACCTACGCTTTTAAAATAAGGCGACAGAAGTCCCTGCAGTTCCAGCCAACCACGCGGTAGCTGCGGCCGCGGATGCTCAGCAGCAGCTGCAGCAGCACTGCAGCAGGAAGACACACGCGCTGCTGCTGCTGCTGCTTCCGCTGCAGCAGCTTGTAGCTGCTCCTTCGCAGCAGCACGGGCCCCACGCCTCCGTCGTACTGCTCAGGGGTTTCTATCACTTCTGTTGCTGCGCCCCCTCTCCAGCTGCTGCTGCTGCTCATGCTGCTGCTGCTGCTGCTGGCCTCGTACACAGCAATTTTGCATGCAGAGGGTTTGAGGGGAGGAAAGGAGACACTAAAGCCCCAAGTGAATCGGCCTGCAGAAACGTCTCCAAAAAAGTCGATGGAGAGATAGCCAGCGACTTTGCTGCTGCAGCCTTCCGCTGCTGCTGCTGCTGCTTCCGCAGCAGCAGCAGCAGCAGCAGCAGCAGTTTTGAACTCCAAGATGATCTGCTGGTGAGAGAAGGTGTTGCTGCTCAGCAAAAAACCCCCGATGGCTCCTAAAGTGTTCTCCATTCGGTGGGAGACAACGCAAATGCGCATGCAGTCTCCGAGCTGTTCGCTGCTGCTGCTGTTGCTGCTGCTGCTGCTGGCGCTGCTGCTGCTGCTGCTGCTGGGTATCCGCTGCTTGAGCCACTGCAGCAACTCTTGCAGCCCTTCAGCAGCACAGGAAGGGGAAAAGGAAACGGCTTCTGCTGCGCTGCGGTCTTCCTTTTCAATCTGCCGCTGCTGCAGTGGCAGCAGCAGCAGCTGCTGCTGCTGCTGCTGCTGCTGAGCGTGTGGCTCGCATTCAATTTCCATTTCCACCGGCAGCTCTTCCACATCATCCACCGCCTCAGCATCATGTAGTTCTGCTGCTGCTGTTGTGTCTGCTGCTGCAGTTGCTGCAGTTGCTGCAGCTGCTGTAGAGGCTGCTGCAGCTGCTGTAGAGGCTGCTGCTGCTGCTGTTGTTGCTGCTGTTGCTGCTGTCTCCGCTGCATCAGTGGCAGCATCTGCTGCGACAGATATTTCAGCAGCTGCTGCTTCCTCACGCACCAGCGAATCTTGTGAGTCCTGCGGCCTGCGCACGAATGCTCTGCTGCTGCTGCTGCTGCTGCTGCTGCTGCTGCTGCTGTAGACGCTGCTGCTGCTTGTGTCTGCAGTGCTGGCGAGCCGCTCATCGTCCGTCCTAAGTGTGGTGCTGCTGCTGCTGCTGAGCTCTCCGCTGTTGCACGGCCCGCTTACTAACTTGCTGCTGCTACTGCCGCTGCTGCTGCTGCTGCTGCTGCTGCTGCTGCTGTTTGCTGCTGGCCTCCATCTCCGCTGCTTCTGCTCCTCCAAGCAAACTTGCTTCGTGTGGCTGCTGCTCCAAGCTGAGAAGGGCCCTGCCCAGCCGCAGGCGTTGCAGTGCACCGGCAGCAGCATGTACTGCAGCAGCAGCAGCAGCAACACAGCAGCACAAGTTGCAGCGACACGGAAACAGCATGAGCAGCAACAGTAGCAGCAACATACACGCAAAGCTCCAGTAGCGGCAGCAGCAGCAGCAGCAGCGCAGGCAGTGGCAGCAGCAGCAGCAGCGGAGGCTGTGGCAGCAGCAGCAGCAGCGGTAGTGGCAGCAGCAGCAGCAGCAGCAAAGATGAAGACTGTCTCTCGCCTACGTGCAGCAGCAAATCAACGAGGGCCTCGTCCTCAGCTTCTTCCAAGGGCTTCAAACTCTTTACGTACAGCGCCCTGCAGCAGCAGCAGCAACAGCAGCAGCAGCAGTAGAGCGCCAGCAGCAGCAGCAAGGGAAGCAGCAATGGTATGACCCAGTAATTTAAGCAGCAACAAAAGAAGCAGCAGCAGCAATGCAGGAGGAGACAGCAGCAGCAGCGCCGCTTTCAGCAGCACCAGCAACAGCAGAGCTAGTAGCAGCAACAGCAGCAGCAGCAGAACGAGCAGCAGCAGCAGCGGCAGTTCCGCCGCTTCTCGCACCACGAACAGCTGCAGCAACAACAGCAGCTACAGTCGCAGCCGCAGCTGTGGCAGCGGCAGCAGCAGCAGCAGCACTAGCGCCACGAGCAGCACCAGCAGCAGCACCAGAAGCAGCGGCAGCAGCAGAAGCGGAAAACGCAGCAGCAGCAGCAGCACCGAAAAAACCAGCAGCAGCAGCCGCACCGAAAAACGCAGCAGCAGCAGCCGCGCCGGAGAAAGCCGCAGCAGCAGCAGCAGCAGCAGCAGCAGCAGCAGCAGACCTTCTGCAGAGGGGACAGAAGCTGGCCTTGGCGAGGACGGCGAGGAGACAGTCCCCACAGAAGACGTGGCAGCAAGGTGTATAGACAGGGTGCAGCAGCAGCTCCAAACAAATGCTGCAGCGGAAGTCATGTTCGGAGTAGAAGGAGTCTGTGGCCAGGACGTACTTAGCAGCAGCAGCAGCAGCAGCAGCAGCAGCAGCACGGCGGCCCCTGCCGCTGCTGCTGGGCTTCCTGCTGCTGCTGCTGCTGCAGGGCACCAGCCGCAGCTTGCGCATGCAGCGACTGTTCAGCAGCTGCAGCGTCTGCTGCTGCAGCTCCGGCCGCTCCGGCGCAGCCAGCCCGCTGCTGCTGCTGCTGCTGCTGCGCGGCAGCAGCAGCAGCAGAGCTCCTAACCCCGTGTCCGAAGAAAGCAGCAAAGGCGACAGGCCGTTGCGCAGGTAAGCAGCAGCAGCAGCAGCAGACCCCGAGCCGCTGCTGCTGCTGAGCGACAGGCGACGCGCCTGCTGCCGCAGACGGAGGCCCAAAGCAGGTTCCTGCAGCAGCAGCAGCAGCAACAGCAGCAGCAGCAGCAGCAGCAATATCAGCTTTCAAAGGGCCCATAGAAACTGGACTGAGATAAGTTACTGGCTGCACTTTCACAGCC